ATAACGCAGTTTATAAATGTTTAATTCAAAAGTCATAAATAAACTTCTTCTGTTTATAACTTTTGATCTAATCAATATTTTTTGACGCTCGAGGGCTAATTTTGTAGGTCTTTTGAAGGCGAAAAAAAGTACGTTACTGTTTTCTCGTAGAAATGAACGGAAAAAAGTTATAAGCGAAGCACCTGAATTTACGTAAAAATTATACAATTAACTGCCCTGTAAACAATCTTCCCCCCATTTTTATGACTGTTGAAACTAATATGTTATTGTACATAATATTTACCATCTATAGTGATAAATTCAGCTTGCCGAAACAAAAAGTCGCGAAATGGTCATTTCCCAGCTTATTTTCCTGGCCTATATCTTATATTTTGGTTCCTACTAATCCTACAGTTCCCATATCTGCACCTGATAAAAGAAATTCATTTTAAAACCTATATCCGCAGAAACTTGCTTTTTTAAATTTGTCTAGAGAAGTGGCCTTATTGTTAAGTTATCTAATGAAACAACACACAAACTAGAAAAAAGAATTATGTGAAGAGCAAACACTTCAGCAGACCCTTACCTGACCACAGGCCAGAGAATCACTCAGTATCCCCATATTGTTGAGCATATTCCAGGCAGGTCCCGAAATGGCCAGGATGAAAGCGTATGCCAGCAGCGCCTGCCGCCCTTTCTGTGAGAAGAACTGCGGCAGGGTAAGCAGCACGACGCATCTAGGGAAGAAAACGAACGTCTAATTTTAATTTGCCGTGTACATCCCCATCTCATTACCATGGCCACAATGGCCACTCGACCTCGAATTGTTAATTAATTTTCTGCATTCTTCCATTGTTTTGCATCGATCGATAACTACATATATTTTTATCTATGCAGCGGACAATGAAAAGGGTTAGAAATGGTGCCATGATGACAAATTAACTTGTTATCGACTGCACAATAATGTAAAGCTATGTAGTTTTGACATTTGTAAGGAGAAGGCTGGTTTACTGTAATAAGTATAATTCCCTTACTTATGTTAACCTTTGAGTCAATCATCTGTATAGTTGAAATAAAAGGGAATTATTAATTAGCTAAAACTCTCTTTTAGAACGATAAGCCAACAATACTTAGATATACAGTATGTCTACGGATAGTGTTGAAAAAGGGAAAACTTTTTAGTTTTTTAATTTATGTAAAAAAGCCAGTCGTATTAAAATCTTGCTGCATGATGTTTAAAGATGTAGTTGTAGTTTCAAGGGGGCCATGGTAATGAATTTTAATCAGGAATAACTTTTAGCAACGAAATTTACGATACGAAAAATATGAAAACGATATATAAATAAATAAATATGATAAATACGAAAAAGGCACTTTGCCTACACCGAATATATTTTTTTTCCTAACAAAGGATACAAATATATTACAAATAAATTTTTAATCAAGCAGAATCGTTTCCTAAAATAGAAAATTTTGGCTCAAGTAGTTATTATTATTATTATTAACATCTATGGTTAAAATGAGCTGAAAACAGCTTGTACAGGGTAAAAGAAGGGTATACTTGTAAAGGGTAAAAGAATATTGAAAATAAGAAAAACAGTTAATAATCCAATCCAATAATCATCGGTCTGATAATGCTTCCAAAATACAGTGTTATAATTTTCTTGAGTAGTATCTCATGTACGCATATATCCTTGAAAATGTTTGAGGAGATAAAGGAAACGGGTTGTTCAATTCAACCGATGGCGGCGATACTTGATTGTGTCGTCACTGATTTCGACGTCATTGAGAAGTTTAGATATTCAATCAATCGATGAGATTGGTAATTATATTTCAAAGAAAAAAATATTTTGTTCGATAAGCGAGTAGTTTTCGACTTAATATTGCTTTATCCTAATAAATTATCACACGGTTAAATAAACTGAAAACAGTTCTAAAAGTGTTCGTGTTATAAAAAATATAGGAACAGTTTCAGAATAATTTTAATTTTGTCTAGCTTTGTGATTTATTTGTAGCTAAAAAAAAAATACTGACTCGAATATGACTCCTTTTAAAAAATATTAGATGAGAGAATATCTAAAATACTCAGTTGACCCAATTTCTCCATGCATATAAATTGAGTGAAATTATCTATTTAGATAGTTAAGGGGAGCGTTTATATCCGCAATTTTTTGTTCAACATTTTAGAAAATATAAGCAAGTTAGAAGCAATATCTCTTCACTGTACTAGTTATACAGGGTGATTCAGTCATAACACAACTGACTATATATTCAAAATAAGGAAAAAGGCATATTTTTACCTTCTTACGTTTCCTGAATTTTGCATGCATCTCGTACAGTACCTACTATAAACATACTCATACCTCGCAGAATACTTTTAGGAAACTATTAATATATGCATTAATTACGATTATTCAATATCTTTACTAGACAAAACTGGAATGGTACATTTTCTGATGTTTACAATGTTCTCCGTGATCTTTCAATGCGAAAAATTAAATGAAGTGGGTGTATCTATTGTTCTATCATTGTCTTACTAAAAGAGCGATTTCTGGTTTATAAAACGCCAGCCTTACACTGTAATGAAAAGTATGGTAAAATTCCTTGAATTTTCTATGGTAACCTGTTGCCATGCAATGTTCAAGTAAAATTCATTAACATTTATGTAATATTAAATAGAATATACCCGGCTGGAAACTCCACATGGTTCATCTGCCTTTACATGAGAGCGACAAAATAAAGTAAAGAAATCCGTGCTATGTACTAGGATAGCTATATTGAAGACGTTTCATAATCTGAATAGTCACTCCCACTTCTAACCCGAAACGGGCGGTGACTATTCAGATTATGAAACGTCTTCACTATAGCCATCCTTGTCTATCGCACGGATTTCTTTACTTTACTTTGTCGCTCTCATGTAAAGGCAGATGGACCATGTAGATTTTCCAACCGTGTGTTTATACATGAATTTTACTTGAACAGGTTACCATGGAAAGTTTGAGGAATTTTACCATACTTTTTATTACAATGTATGCCACCAGCTCAAGTTTCATTTGCATACGTCAACAACTTTCGAGATATTTTTGTAAATGCTATACTTTTTAGAAACTTTAATACCCTGTACCTGGGAAAGGAAGAATGTTAGAATTCATGTTTATTCATATTGGAAAAAACTTAATTATGTGTTTCTCAATCGAGGTCTAAAGATACAATCAACTTCCATTTTCTAATGTCTGTCACCAGGAATCTCCCTGTATATGTTAGCTCAATAATGATAATTTTGTACATTCAAATACAACCAGACTGTTTTAACAAGAATGAGCATTTGTCGTAAAATGAATAATAAAAAGGTTTTGCCTTTTTTTCAACTCGTCCATAATGTTCAGCTGATTGATAACAATCATGACATCTTTACATAAAAACTATTTTCCAGTTCTAGTGACACCAAAGGTCATATCAACTATACAGGTTGGTTCAGGTTTACATCGGTGACTAAGCAAATGTTTTTAAGTAGAAAATCAAAAAGTGGAGCGTAGAACGCTTCGGGTGAGAGATACGGGGTACGGAATGCGACTCATTCGCGGCGTAGCTATTGCAGAGTCAGAGTCAGAGAAGTTGATTGGATACGACCAGTTACGGATGCTACTATCGAATATTTAGGGGATCTCCATTGTTTGAGGAGCGGTTCGATCCGTAGCGGCTTTAAAACCAGCAAGAAGAACCGGAATGAATACCTGATCAGGTTTAAAAGTTCTTATAGCAGGTTCGCCGCTACATAGTCTAGCCAGAGAACAATAAGCAGGTCAAAGATTCCTAGCTAAGACTAAGGAAGTGCATCGTAAATCGTAATTACGGCGACTTGAAACATAAGTCACTGTATAAAAATCCGAAAAACAGAATAAACAGAAGTACGTGTATTTATTTCGTTATAACCCATATATTATTGGCCTTTCTTGTTAGCCCCGAGAACAACAAGGGCAAGTCAAAGATAGCAGCGAGTACCAATTAGGTACATATCATGTAATGAAAGAATGTCGAAGCTTAGGACATATTTGTTGCTGCTACGGAATCAACCTAACCCCCCCGTTTTCGAGGGTGACGAATCCAAATTTGCGGACCGTTGAATTTGTAACCCTGCGCATCCACCACAAATGCCCAAAACCACCCCTGTTTTGATTTTGGACTTCAGCGATGTATTCAATATCCTCCCCCCTCGTTTTCGAGGTGCTGATCACGAATATGATGATTCCGATCCTCCCCAACACTCGCAACACCCTCGAACGGACCAAAACTATCGTTCTCGGGCTAAAAACAATCTCTGTGCCCTCCTCCCCCACTTCCAAGGGTGCTGGTCACGAATATGATAATCACACCTTTTCAAACCTCGCAATTCCCTCGAATGGATCAAAACTACCCCCGATCTTCCATAAAATCAGATTGGGGTAGCTCGAGGGGGTTGCAAGAAGGATAGTGATCATCATATTCGTAATCAACACCGAAATAAAAAAGGGGTGGCTTTTAGCCAATTGCTGCGGTTGCGCAGGGTTAGAAAATCAACGGACCTCAAAGTCGGATTCAGCGCAATCGGGAACAGGGGCTGGATTGGTTTCGTAGCTGCAACAAATACTTCCCAGATTAAGCCATTTTTTACATTCTCTCACTACATTAATAGGCCACCGCATAACCGAGAATCTATCGTACTTTAAAATCGAAGTATTGAAGGTACGTATCACTAGGAGTCTCAGAATTTCAACGCTAGTGAATGTTTGGGGTAAATACTTTTAATTCTCAACGATAGGCATCCCTAAAATAAAAAAAGGGTCCCATTTTACTCCAAGAACGAGCCGTTTTAGGTCTGGCTTTTCATTAA